TAAAAACAGCGGTAATCAGGGGTAGAGATTGAATGAGGGGGGGGTGGGGTAAGAAAATATTATACAATTAAGAAACAAACAAGCAAAAAAAAGACGAAACAAAAATTACGTGGTGTTAAGATAGGTCAGGTCCACTGTAGATTTAATGACTGAAACGACTTCTTTTGTATACAGAGTTCAGGACTTCGACTATTTTTTGCTTGTTTGTTTCTTAATTGTATAATATTTTCTTACCCCACCCCCCCCTCATTCAATCTCTACCCCTGATTACCGCTGTTTTTAACTTGACTTTTGTTCATTTTTAATTTTGGCTGAGCTCTACTCAGCCGCATCAATTAGACTTTGTCACTCAACTTGCTTATGTAATCTTACTTTACTTTCTAACCAATTAACGAAATTTGTTATCTAAAATTTACAATTCTAATGACAAATCTTTGAGGCATTCATTCTATTGCTAGGCAAATTTACTGTATTTATATATGTGGTTGTACAGCTTGAGAAAGATATCGTTGAGAAGGGTGTCTCTTCTCTAAACGCCTTTTCTTTTAATTGATTTATTCATATTTCTTATTTTTGATTATAGCTTGATTCCATACCGTATTTCGGTACAGCTATGGAATTTTCAGTATGTGATATCAGTAGCTCTAATTTTGTAAGTCAACCATAGATATCAGGCGTGTGTCTGCAGAGGATCGAACCCCGGACTATGTACATGGTCGCCGAGACTCATGTCCGCTTTGCCACCGACGCACTAGGTTTCGGCTTAACAACTCAGTGTTCTTTTTTGAACTAATCCTATGTCAGTTAACAATGGTCAACAAGTAAGGTGATCATCTGTCATGCATGAGACGAGTAAAATTGTTTGAATCGATGTAGCATCACGAACGCATAGATTAACTTGTCCTACTTACCTCACACTCTACGTCTAACGTCAATATTTTATTTTTTATTTTTTTTATTCCTTCACGTTCCCCAGTGGAATATAGGGATTCAAGCTAGAGGCTTGAATTTTCTGTAACAGTGTTTATTTTACAGGATGGGGTTGGTAGCCTCATTCCCAACCTTTCCTCTCTACCAGCTTTATTTCTGGCTTAGCGAGGTAAAAGAGTTCGTCGGCCGGGATTCGAATCCCGGACCATGTGCATGGTTGGCAAGCGTCCTAACCGCTGTACCGCCGACGCACGTCATTATCACATACCATATTATACCTCTTAACACGAGTGAATTATGATTACAATTCCTTGTTAGTATCCTGTTGAAATAACTAACTCTGAGCTTGAATAAAGCAAGAACAACAGTGGCTTGTACAGAATAAGATGCTACCATCATTTATTCCATTAGCTTCTCATCAGTTAATTACAGCCAAAGGACATTATTGAGTTTATCTACAGAAGCAATTTTAACATACTTGCACAGAGTCTATTTTTAAGCAAAAAATCAATATATACGCATACAATGCCAATAATAAAAATAATCACTTTATGGTAAACAACAATAATAATCATCCCCAATGGAATCTTTCGGCGTCATGTAATCAGATGAAGGAGAGAATGAAAACATCCAGTAACCAGAACAAGTGAAGCACTGATAACCGCTTTTTTCTGAACGCATATATCAGGTTTCAGGCGTTTGATGTAGATTACTTCGGCAAACTTACGAAGAATTGTACTCCTTTGCCTATTGATAAATTTCAACGGTATTTCGACGTCCACCTTATGACTCGTGTCAAGGAGATGTCTGGCGATAGCACTACTGAAAGCATTTATCTCCTTGAGAAGAAGTTCTTTCGGTACATGTTCAGAAAGTCGGAGGTACGCTCTTCTTTCTGTTCTTCCAATATAACTGCTCCCACAGATACATGTAAATTTGTATACACAGTTGGAGTTAACATGAGAGGTATATCTGTCGACTGTTGACTGCACCATACAGCATGTTGTTTGATAGACGGGAACCAGCTTAGCTGTTGAAGTAATCTGCATCAAACGTCTGAAACCTGATATATGCGTTCAGAAAAAAGCGGTTATCAGTGCTTCACTTGTTCTGGTTACTGGATGTTTTCATTCTCTCCTTCATCTGATTACATGACGCCGAAAGATTCCATTGGGGATGATTATTATTGTTGTTTGCCATAAAGTGATTATTTTTATGATTGGCATTGTATGCGTATATATTGATTTTTTGCTTAAAAATGAACTCTGTGTAAGTATGTTAATATTGCTTCTGTAGATAAACTCAATAATGTCGTTGGGCTGTAATTAGCTGATGAGAAGCTAATGGAATAAATGATGGTGCCATCTTATTCTGTACAAACCACTGTTGTTCTCGCTTTATTCAAATTCCTAAAAGGGAATAAAGGAATAAATGACTCTAAGTTCCTACTCTGCAGACTATAAGTCAGTGTATTATCAAACCTTTTCTTGACATTATCAGTTGGCATGTTTCACCAAGTGAATCTCTTTCTCTTGAGACTCCATACATTCTTTCTTTCATACAAAAATCAAGCTGAATTTTTTCCATACACGCTTCTTTATTATTATATTTCATTGATAGTTCTTACTATGTTACTCATTTATACCACTGTATAGTGTGACAAAAATTTACTGAATAAAAAGTGAATAGTTTGTGTGGTGAATTCATCAGATCATCGGATTATTATACAATATCTGAACAATATTCACTATTACTTACATCATCCTGATCCTCCCACATCTTGATAGTTACTAGAAAGATGTTTCGTTTAACGTTCTACGTTAGGAAATTTAGGCAATCTGGCATAAAAAGCAGTCTTTGCTTTCTCAGTTTGTCAATTCTTCTATTCTACCCATCCCACTTTACTGCTCCCCATTAATCTTTCCTGAACTACTTAAGAAAGACTTTGCTTTGCTGAGAAGGGCACTAAAAGCCGTTAGTAGGGCAAGTGGGATATCGTTAAACCAACTGGTTAACACTATTGTGGATAGACATATTATGTCATGTAAGAAACTAGCGAATACAATATTGTCAGAACCCGAGCATCCTCTCTATATGCATCTATCTCCTTGCATTTCATCTGGTAGAACTAGAAGCAGCTATAAGAGGCTATATGCTAGGACTAGCAAATACAAAAACTCCACAATACCATATCTGGCACAGCTGTTATGTGATGAGAAATCCGTTAGGTATGACATGATCAACTTACTGCGGCACTCTAACAAATCGTCCCATTAGTTTTTGTTTTCTTTTCCTCGTTACTATTACACTGTTGTTCTCATCTTCTATCACACACCAATTTTATATTTCATATCCTGTGGTGCATTGTTTAAAATTTAAACACAACGCTGTTGTTTTTATTTTTTTTTAATTATCTTTTGTTTGCGTTGCTTTTTGATGTTAAAATCTTATAAAATTTATGAGGTAATTAGATGCAATATATTGTAATGTACGCTGAAAATTCCATACCTGTACCACAAATACTGTTTAGAATAAAGCTGTTATTATTATTACATAAATTAAATTATACCTGAGACTATAAATTAGATAGGTGACATTGAGTAGATACTTTGTGGTTTTCGTCAGTGTGCAATTTACTAGAATTAATTAAAAGTCTGTGCGTCGGGGGCATGGCGGTTAGGACGCTCGCTTACCATGCACATGATCCGGGGTTCGATCCCTGGCCGACGATTTCCTTCACCTCACTAAGCCAGAAATAAAATGCTGGTAAAGAGGAAAGGTTGGGCATGAGGCTACCAACCCCATCCTGTAAAAAACAACACTGCCACAAAATCTTCAAGCCACTAGCTTGAATCCCTATATTCCACTGGGGAACGTGAAGGAAAAAAATTAAAAGTCTGAAAAGGATTCAAAATTGTAGAAGTTAAGATGTACAGTGTGGTGGAATACCATTCAGAAGTTTGAATGATTAAGTATTCCCTCGTCTTTACAGTAATAAGGACGTCAGAGTGTGCCTTAACTCGGATACTACTTAGTTATGCTTATTTGTACAAATAAAAAACCAGTCATTCTCCTTACATTTTCTGGATAGTTGCACTCATCACGAGTACCATCTTGACAATTCAGTGTTATAGAAAAAAACACTAATGCTGTCAATAACAGTAATCCCTTTTTCAGTGCGTACTGCAACTGCAGCACCCAGAGAAGAAGTTATCAAAAGGAACTTCACTTCAAAGCTGAATAGTTATTTTGGAGGTTTTATGTATTCAATGTGCATTTACCGATTCACTTGTTCTTGTGGAGCTAATTACACAGGCCGTATAATTAGGACATTGTCTAGACACTCCCATGAAAACTTACTAGCATAACTGTCAAAAAATGAGAACGCACCTCAATTCTGGAATATATTATTACTTCTGGTCATGCACCAGCATCAGCAGAGACTTGACTCAGAGTCACATATAAAATACGATTCAGTCATTTGAAAGGATTTATTTCGCCTACATTTTCTTCATACAGCCAAAGTCTTCTCAGTGTATACACAGAAACCTGAACTTTGTGTTCAGAAACGTTTTAACTGGCCTCTTAAAATAATCTGGCCTAGATGTTATTTTCTTTTCCTGAATAATTGTATAGTAAGCAATGTATAGTCCGTTGCGGGTCATTTTCAATCCTTTATTCTCTAGTTTTTTTATAGACTATTTCCAAACAATCATTCATGACTCAACTGATTAGTTGTCAACCCTCTTGGATACACAAGATTATTCTCAATTTTCCAAATATAGTTATCCCTCAGATGCTCTGAGATTTACTTTGTTACTAACTGACAATAACCGCTGACATCTGTTGTCAATGTACACTGCATACGTAGACCCTCTAAATAATTGTACAGATTTGAAGTGAGACTACGTAAAGAGATCTCTTTTTGCTGACTCAGATCTACTTAATTGCATAAAATGAGAACTATTCTTTCTTAACTAATCGATACTATACAACTGATAATGTGAATTTTTAAATACTTGAAATTGTATACAAAAAAATATTAAAATAGAATAAAAGTAAACGCTTACTTGATTAATATGTGTGATTAGTCAATTTATATATCCAAACACGAGATAAATGTTTTATGCAACATGCGTTATAATAACACTATCCTCTTTGAAAGGAAAACACAATCAGTGTATGCGTTGTCTACTTAAGCCAGTAGTTGTGATCAAAATTGGTTGATTATCACTTTTATATATTTACCTGTTTCTAATTAATGAACCGGTGGTTGTGATAGGTCAGACGTTTGTTTGTACAATAACAAAATAAATCAATGGAGAATTTAAGCTATTTTTAATTCTAAAACTGGATTCTAGGTCATTTCAATTAATAAATATTTCATTGAGAAATGGCTATTTTTACTCGGCCTTGGAACTCATATATAATATAAATGTCAATAATATATATATATATATATATATATATATATACTAAAACCAACGCTGAAGATGTTGTTTAGAAAGACGACGAAAGCTTCACAAACTAATTAAATCAACTAGTCCAAAATCGTCCACATGAGCTACAAAGCTTCTCTAATATATATATATGTACACATTCAGTTCTGATGGATCTGTATGCAGTCGCATTTGTAGATACTATTTCAACATTGCTGTGATAAGAGGTTAATTGGTGGATGGTGACCAGCAGGGAAATCCAGGATGCGGATTTCGTCCTATTCGGGACTCATCACTGGATGCGCCTGAACTCCGCTGTGAGTGATGATGTTCCCACCAAGACTCCGACCCAAAGGCCATGGTTTTAAACGCTAAAGCGTTATCCACTAGACCACTTGGGCCACGAGAAGCACCTCCTGTACGACGGGACATATTATTTATTTAATGGAATTTTAGATTCTCCCGTCGATTGATTGAACCGAAGTGCTTTGTCTCAGGTTGATATGTCGGCTTTTTATGATATTTCATTGTGAAGAAGGTATTAATAAACTGTCCCAAAACAAACCTTCTAGTCGCCTAGATTTATATAGAACAATATAGACAGCTTTAAAAGTTAATGTTTGTCACTTTCTCAATTTCTAAGTAAAAAAATAAAAATAAATGTCTTTTCACTCCATCAAGAATACTGACTTATTAGGCTAACGTTCATTTTTGAACTGATGAAAGTTGAAGTCAAGAGAACAACAACAAAAAGAATTAATTTTAAATGTAGTACGGATACTTAAGGTGAGACTTCATTCCTAAGGCAAACAAAAACAAGAAATTTATGTAGTCAGTCGTTGTCTGTTATTCTTCACTTGATAGACCATTATGACTGAAACAGAGGATAGGTCATTTAATTTTGTCAGACACATGTGTTTTTAAGAGTTCATCACGCATTGATATCAGTTAGACAACCACTGAAAACCAGGAAGTATTGGATAACTGTCTCAGTTTAGTTCGGGAATCATCGGTAGTACGCACCCACCACCACGGTTCCAACCCAAGACATTCCGGTTACAAGGCAAGCTCGTATACCATACCATTCAGCTACTGGGACTCGATTCAGTGGCTCATGAATTCTAACTTCTACTTATTCGTGATTTAGTGCGACCGTGATCACTAGTTAAAAAAAACATAACTAACCCTTATAAACGAAACCTTAGAAGACATATGTGCATCAATCAACGCAATCGCTATTATGTGGATAATTATATTAATTCTACAACCAGACAGTTTATTTAGTATCTACAAGCTTTTCAGATTGTAATGGGAATTAAGAAAAGTAAAGTCTAGATAAACTGATGTTTCATCCTATCAAACTGACAATGATCTCTTCGAAGACAGAATGCAGCATTCAGAATCACATACTGTATTTCGAAGAGTCTTTCGCAGTCATCTCTTACATGTAGCTGAAACTCTGGGTCTTTCTGCCTCTTTTGTTATTAAAAATATCTATTAAGCTCTAACCACTGGTCACACATCACTTAAATTCCTTTTGCCTATCATCCTCATTTTTCGATAATATACAGCTCTGCTTTTTTCAAAAATTAAAGTACTTTTCCTCAGTGATGACTTGTATTTATATCAGCGTGTTGTTCCCTGAATTCTTCCTCTTCTTATAAGGTAACCACCGAGCTACTTTTTGATATGGAGAACTACTGCAGCCTATCAGTGCCAAGTTAGCTGTCTATAGCCTGGAAAACACCTTTCAGTTCACTAAACAATTAGAGAATTTAGATATATAAAATAAATTCATGGTGACATTAAACATCACTTCTCTGATTACATAAATTCCCGCTACAAGAAACAATACAAATTACATGTCAACTTTCTGATCTCATTTCTCTGACAAAGAATGAACTCAGACAACTGCTGTTAATATATACTGAGGACATAAAGTCGAAATTTAACAATGTTTTGTACCGCCAAACTGATGGAGTCGCTATGGGAAGTCCTTTGGGTCCGAATCTGGCAGACATTTTTATGGGTAACCTGGAACAAACAAGGATGAAAGCCACAATCGATCAGACAGATTTCTATTACAGGTATTTCAATGACACATTTATCGCTTGTGATTGTTTTAATGACGCATCTCAAATATTAAATATCCTGAAGAGTACTCATCCTAATACAAAGTTTACTGGGGATTGTGAAAATGAGGAAAAGTTTCACTTTCTGGACCTTGGCAAAGGATGTGATAAAGATGGTAAAGTCGTAAGGTACATCTATTGAAAGGAGACCTAGAGGGCAGTTTACTTGAACTTCAAAAGCTTCTGCCCTACAAGTTACAAAAAGGGAATGATAAGAACACTATTTGATTGTGTAAGGAAGCTTTGTTCAGAAGAAAAAGTTGGGAAGGAAAAATCTACTGTTGAAAAATGTCTGCGTGATAATAGTTACTCACAGAAGTTCATCGACAAACACGGGAAATATAGTGTTGACAAGGTAAAGTAGAGGAAAGTTCACCTTTATACAGTCTGCCTTCAAAAGTGACGATATCGCTAGAGGAGTAAGATGCAGACTGAACGCTGTCCTAAAAGGAACATATCCAGCCGTCAGGGTTATATGTGTTTATCAAACGATCAGTTGTTTTAGACCTCATGTTACCTGCATATACCGACTTACATGTATGTTTCAAAGCACATATATTGGAAGAACAGAGGGAAGAGTTATTGTCCGCATCTCTGAACACATACCGAAGAACCTGAGACTAAAGGATCTTCAAGCATTAAACAGTGCGATTGCACGCCATCTGCTATACACCGGCCATGTTGTGGACAAGGCGTTCAAAATAATCAATAGATAAAAGAAACCCAGCCTGCTTCGTTTCGCTGAGGCAATCTCTATCAAACGGCTAAAATCGAATCTGTATACGCAGAAAGAGACAGTGGGGAATCTTGCACTGCCTTGTTGATAACAAAGCATACAAATTTCACCACGTCATCTTCATGATTTTTTTTGTTTAAACATTACTCACTTTTTATACTATTCCTAGATAAACTTTGTTTCTACCCACAAAACACCTGTTGAAGTCTGTCGTTTTGTTTCCAAGCTTAGTCTTGTAATTCTTCTATAAATAGTCCATCATTGTCACTTCTAATTATTTAACAGCTTACATCACTTCTGACCAGTGTTACTCTTCGTTCCGGTCAATTACTCTCTATCATTGTAAAAAAAATGCGTTCAGATCTTTAATTTAATTCAAAATTTTGGTATTGTTCAGGTTGTTAACAGTTAAGAAGAATCCACGAACCAAAAAAAACAGCTCAGATTATTCGAATACATTTGTTGTTCTTGCTTAACTGAAATTAATTATTGAAAGAATTGTATAAATTTTTCAGGATTTTATCATTAGCTGACATTAGTTAGAGAACCATTGGAAAACCTGGGAGTACTGGACAGCTGTTTCGTCCTAGTTCGGGACTCTTCGTCAGTACGCACCCACCGGGATTCGAACCAATAAGAACCAACAATACTGATGAAGAGTTCCAACTAGGACGAAACAGCTGTCCAGTACTGCCAGCTGGTTTTCCAATCGTTCTCTAACTAATGTCAGCTCATGATGAAATCCTGAAACCAATCAAATCCCTACAAACCAACACTTGAGTATAAATTTTTGTTATTCTATAAAAAATGTTTAATCTTTTGATCGGGTGGAAAGACTCCGTAGATTGGGTTATAGATGTCATGTCTTTGAGTCTTCTATTGCTTCAGGGCTGCTCTGTAAATCTAGAAAAGACATGAACTTACTCAGGAATACAGTGAGTGAGTGCCAAAAATTTCTGTTCACTTTAAAACAGGAATTCCTTTTTTACAACTTCATTAATAATCATGATCAAACAAAGATAACAAATCGGCTAAACAAGGCTAATTGATTTTGATTAGCAGTTTAAAAAAAACTGTATCAGTCTAAATATAAAAGCAAAACTTTAATTAGATATTGAGTTTATAAATAGTATGAGAATTCAGATATCATTACATACATATTCAGAATAAAGAATCAAAACCAAATACAAAGATTCTATATTAGATAAGTTCACTTGATATCATACACACACACACACATACATACGCAGTGATAGATTATTCATAACGAGATGAGGAAGTTTCAAGCACAATTTATCACTCACAATCGTATAAGATAAACTTATATCGCATAGAATTATATTTCTACCATTGTACCAAAATGCCTACTCTTACATTAAACACAGATTATTGTGAATTGTTCTCATTTCATTAGGAATCTGCACTAAATTAATACAATGAATACTAGAATAATTAAAAAATTTTTAAATTTGTGCTCTCAGCAAACTAGTTAGGCTAAGCAAGTCAATACAAATACAAACACTAGATAGTTGGAAGCAATTTGTAAAAAGCCTTCGAATTAGGTTTCGTGTTAGTTGGCACTTGTCAGCAAGGCTTATCTGCAACCTTGAGGGAACTTCCCCAAAATTATTGACCATAGGAATAGATTATGTCTAAGAGAAGAATTACATCGTAACCATAAGAATCATCAGTGAACATTGGATGCTCACCCTTAGAGTTTAAGTTGACTTGTTTAGCTGAAGGCTTCCAGTCAAGCATTCCCGTCATTTGGTACTCCATCGTGTCACTGTCGTGCACGATAACTAGCTAGCTTAGCTTCCGCTTCAATCTGCGATTTGGTTCCGAAATATATCTATTAATTTGGACAATGAATTGTGATGTTTTGCTTTGCCTTTGGTACACGAGAATCAAATAATTTAAAAGTTGTTGGTATAAGATCTTGCGTTAATATACTCAGTATTGTTCGCGA